CGCACACACACACGCACACTCACTCACTCATATACACACGCGCACACACACACACAGTAGTGTTACACAAATTCCCAGACTTTTCCTTTGGCGGTGCCCAGCAGTGAGTAAGAGGAGGAATTGGATGCTGTACCAGGTAGATAAGAGAACCATTTTCATTTAAAGGAAAGTTTATTCTGCTAGCTTTCCAAAATCGATTTCCAAGACCTCCTTGTCTTTATCTGGACAAGTCAGACTGTAGAGCTTCATGGAGGCAGCTTTGATGTAATCCAGTTTATGAAAGTTTTTAAAACAGAGTACTGTGTGGCATGAAGCCTTTATGGAGAGTAGAGATTATATGCTGACCTTGGCCCCACAGGAGCCAGCCATGCCCAGGGATGCAGGAATCAGTTACTTTATCTTCAAGCCAGATCCTGAGGGACAAATGCTATCAGCCTCACTGTGCTTTCAAGAAGGAAAAGACAGTTTCAGTCTCAGCAGTTGCCTACTGAGTTGTCTGCTGCTGAATTGCCCAAAGATGAGTCAGTTTTAAACTTAATTCTATGGATTGGATAATTAATTTCCATTCCGTATACTTTTATTGAGCATCTATTAGGTACTTTAAGAGATTTTGAGTATACAAAATAAAAAGAAAAAAAATTACCAACAACAATCAGAGCAATGCTAATAGCTAATATTTCTCCATTAAGCCCTTACTAAATTGTAGGTGAGTATCTAAGTGCATTACTTATCTTTTTTACAATTATACAGGGTAGGTGCTATTTCTGCACCATTGTGCAGTTGAAGAAACTGAGGCTCAGAAAGGTTGAGATACATGCCCACAGCCATGGAGCTAGTAGTTCTAGAGTAGAAATGAGAACCAGGTTGTCTGGCTCTGGTCTCTTCCCTGCTTAAGTTCCAGATCTCAAAGAGCTTGGGCTTTTGTAAGGAAGAAAATTAAGAAAAGAGAAAAGTTTCATAAAGTGGATATTTATTGAGTGCTTGCTCCATGCCAAGCACCCATCCATGTATTTCATGTGTGTGATTTCATCCAGTTGTCACAATCAGTCTCTGAGGAGGACACTGTTATCATTATCCTGAATTGACAGGTAGAAAAACTGAGGCACCAAGCAGTTATGAAACTTACTCAAATTCACATAGCTGGTGAAGGGCAGGGTGGATATTTGGAGGCAGGCAGTCTCTACTTCTAACCTTGAAACTTTTAAGCTTTTCTCTCTTTGTATACTATGCCTTTAAGCCTTTTCTCTCTCGGGCCGGCCAAGTAGCGCGTTGGTTAAGAGCTGGCTTGGGACGCCAGCTTTGAGCAGCAGGGCCCTGGTTTGGATCCCACATTAGGGACAGTGACCCTGCGCCCTCTACAGCTAAGATGGTGAACAACAGCTCGACCTGGAGCTGGGCTGCTGTGAGTCGCCGGCAACTGCACAGGCTGCAGTGAAGCTGCAGTGGGCTACCGTGAGTGGCTGGCAGCCGGCGTGAGTCACCGTGAGCTGCCATGAGCTGCTGTCCAGTGGCTGGCGACCAATCTGCCTCACCCAGCAAGAGCGCAATGATAACACCAACATGGGCCAGTGAAGCGCCGTCCTCCACAGCTAGACTGAAGAACAAAAGGACAGCACCTTGTCTGTTCCCCTTCCCCAATTCCCCAATAAAATCTTTTTTTAAAAAAACAACCAAACCCTTTTCATTCTCTCCTTCTGATGTCAGGTAAAGTGTCCATGAAGGGCTGTGATCAGAAAGAAAATGGTTAGATGGAGGAGGAAGAGTTAGAGAAGGGCTCCTATAAGGGAGGGGTGGGGGGTGGTGAGCTGCGTTCTGAAGGTCGCACTGTGTTGGGCCAGGTGGAGGTTTGAGAGGAGAGGATGTCAGCAATGGCATCAGCCTGGGAGAGGATGCAGAGGCGGGAGGGAGCACAGTTGGCATGGAGGAGCTGCTAGTGCTATCGTTTTGCTCTAATACGAGGCAGGATGGAGGAGTGAGAAAAGTGAGGAGGGATGTTAAGCCTGGGCCAGGTGTAAAGGGCCTTGTATGCCCCATGAAGGCATCTGGGTCTTGTCCAGGGAGAGAGGAGCCATGACAGGGGCTTGAGCAGAGCTGGACCATTGTCAGCTCTATGTCTGAGAACATTCTATCTAAGACTGAAGGATGGCAGACCCGTGCAACAGGTGAGCCGTTCCTGCAATAAGATGACAGTATCTTGCAGACTAGGGTGGGAATGGGAGGATAAAGACAAATAAGTGAAGAGATTCAAGCAATGTTAGGAGGTAAGTCAAACAGAAATGTGATTGGATTCATGTGGGGAGGGGGACAGAAGGAGCGGTGAAGGATGACCCTGCATTTGTGGCTTGAGCCAGTGGGTAGAAGGTGGGACAGTTTTGAGGCAGGAGCCTGGAGGAGATGGAAGGCTGATGGGGACAGTTTCCATTGTGGGCGTTTGGAGCTGGAGGAGGTTGTGGGAAAGCCTGCTAGGTGTCCAATAGTCAGTCTCATGTATGAGGAGGGAAGATCCAGGCTGATACAAGATCAAGAGAGAAGTTCATAGGTGGTTTTTCAATCTTTGGAGTAGGCAAATATGTCGCTTCTAGGGTTATGGGACCTCATTACAACTGATGAGCTCATATCTGAATCTCAGAAATAATCTCGTCAAATATTATAGCTCATTTTCTTTAGAAAAATTCAGTACTATTCTACATCAGTCTAGCCCTTTGCAGTTTTTTCCAGGGCTTTCCTTTACATTATCTCATTAAAATAATGTCTGGTTGGCAACACAGGTGATAAGGGCTTGTCTGTAAAAATAAGAATTCCATTTCCAGGGTCTGTGTAACTTCCACATTCCTACTTTGCCAGGGGCAGGGCTGACCCAAGTGCAGTGATGCTCAGATTTTCATGTGAGTTGGAATTGCCTAGGGACCTTTCAGGTTCTGATTTAGTGTTAGTGGCAGTGGTGGCAGGTTTGGCAGTGACCACGATGAGATTCTCCATCTGTAAACTGACCCCCAGGGGATGTCGCTGCTGCCGCCCTGGAACACACTTTGAGCATCAATGGACCAGAGAACAGATTTCCTCTCTCCTTGTTCAGCATTCTGTTCATTAATCCACACTGAGTCTGGGTCTAAAAGGAAGAGCGGGCAAGACAAGGTAAGGCGTTTATTGCCAGAACTTCACGTGAGAATTTTTCCCATCTTAGAAGTAAACCCTTGAGACCTTAAGATCTGCCTTGCTCTTTTGCAGGTGGTAAAGCCATGGCCGTTTTGCAGAAAGGGAGCTGACACACCTACATAATCTGTGCTCTGGGGTCCAAACACGATAGGACCTCTGGTTTCTGGGCTCAGCATCCAGAGCTTGCCACGCCCCACATTGTCTTTTTTACATATTCGGAGGCATGCCATGTTTAACAGAATGTGACAGACTTGGGTGTCTAAATGTCAAATCATGTGGGCTTCTTAATCCTGGAGTTTGAGCAGGTACAATCCTGGAATAATTGCCCCTGGGGTTGAAGGGAAGGGAAAGTTTGCTTCAGATATAATTGATAAGCTAACATGAATGGGAAAGGACAGCGAGGAGGGGCATCATTTTTGTGTTAAAATCAAATAGGTATTAGGCCAAGTCCTAGTTCCTGGTTCTGACAGGAAGACTGGGGTCGCTGCTGAACCCTGGTTTCGTTATCCTGTGTCCCAGTGCCTCTGAGTTGCAGTTACACTTTTAAAGCCCATTTAGTCCAGCTGGGATGCACCTTTTGTTGTCAGCTAGGGAATCATTTTTCATACCATGATCTTTACTTTCATATTGAAATCCAGTTTTCTTTAATTTAAATTTTGCTGAAAACAGCCATATTGCTGGGAGTGTAAATGAAGGTAGATGAACATTAATGGTGTCAGTTCACAGCTGTTCTTAAGTTAAATAATTACTGCTCACTCCCTTGGATCTCTGTTCAAAATGCCTACACTGTTCAATTAGAAGCACAAAGCACTTTTCCTCACCACTGTTATTAGGATCAGGCTCAGGCTGAAGAACTTGCATGTGGTGTGAGACATCCCAGTAAGGGTTGGACCCCATTGATTAAACAGAGCTGGTTTACTTTTTTGAGAGGAGTTCCAAAGCTGTGTTGTTTTTGCAAATTTATTACATTTTCTTAAAAGCATCTAAATTAATGCTACGTTAATTACTGGTGGGTATGCACCCTGCAGAATATGTTGCTATTAATTGTATCCATTATCACGAAATAAACATCACTTTATAAAAACAAATGATGCTTCATTTTAATACGTGGCTTGAAACACCCTCCTCCACAGCTGTTGCTACTTCTGTTTTGGTGCTTTTCCTACAAAGGGCCACCTGTTACAATAGACATTTCATTTGTTTTACTTTGGAACAAAAGGACATAGAAAACAAAACCCCACCTCCCTAAAGAATAATAATAAGAAGAAATGAAGCCCCCTCCAGGAAATTTGCATTTTTCCCATCGGAATTCTCACTATGAGGGAGGCCCCTGTATCTTCACTCTTTAATTTTCTGAGCCCTTGATCGAGATTTGTTTTGATTTTTAAATCATGAATCATGAAGGATCTCATTCTAGTGTAAACTTCTTTGTGCTACAAACAGAGAAACTGAGAATAGTTGTGTTGACTTAGGCAGAACCCAAGTCCCAGGAGTCTATAATGGGTTCTTTTTGTCCTACAGCATTTGTGTTTTTTGTTTGTTTTGTTTGTTTGTTTGTTTGGCTGCATCAACCTGTAGACTGTATCGACTGGCTGTGTGACCTTGGAAAAAATTACTTAACATGGTGAACTTCAGTTTTCTTATTTATCACCATTAGTGTTGAGTCTCCTTCAGACACCTTGGAGGGCTGCTTTTATGCACAGTCCTCTATCTTTGGTTGTTATTTAGTGGTCATGAACAAAGAAATATAAGTACAAATATAAGTATAAATTAATTCAAGTGAAATTGAATTGGAAAGGGACACCCTATACAGTAGTGACTGAACCTGAGGATTGAAATTGTCAGAAATTATTGGGAAGACTTTCTTATCATTGGCCACTTTTCCACCTCTTTAAATAAAGAAAAATTATCTTGTCATTTTTAGATTGATCACAAATGATCAAGGACTTCATTCTGGATCTTATTTAACCACAGTGCCTGCCATCCATCCATCCATCCATCCATTCATCCATCCATCCATCCGTCTGTCTGTCCGTCTGTCCGTCCATCCATCCATCCATCCATTGACTTTTCCACAGACACACAGAGGTAGAAGTTGTACAATAAATGTTAAATAGTTTACTTTCATCATGACCTGCATGTATGGAAAATAAAAGTGGATGGGGTTATGGTCCCTCACCTTGGAAATTTGTGGATTTGGCTGAAGGTGTACTTCCTGATCCAAGTTGACTACTCAGGAAGCCATGGGTTGGCGAGTGAGAGAACTAACATCCCAAGTGAAGCTTGTTTCATAGAGACACCCTGGAGGGGTGCTGCTTCTGCCAGGCTTCAGAGGCCCTGGCAGAAAAAGCGATGACACTGCATCAGTGTTGCACTTTTGTCTTCAGCATCATGCCATGCACACTAAGATTTATCACCCTGCTAGCTCGCCATTCCTCTGGTTTCATAGTTTTAGTGAAATGTTTATAGCCATTCATGAAAATAAAATGTTTGGAAAATGCTGACACATGCAGCCTCCTGGAGATATACAATGCACTTTCCATATTAAAGGTCCAGAGAGTTATTTAATGAATACACCATTTAAATTTCTTACAATTATTATTATTGCTATGGAGTTCTTTTTTCAATGAAACCCCCCCTCTGAATATCTCCCAGGACACGAGTGGTCAGCACTGAGCTGGCTTAAAGCTCCAGAATGGTCATCTTCCCTTGAACTCATCATAAAAAGTGGGGCAAGTCTCTTCTTTCCTTTCTCATCTCCATGATCTGTCTATGGCCTCCTCCCTGCCTACTTCTTTCAACATTCTTGACTAAATGGTAATAACTCAATTTCATATTGCCACTTAAAAGTTATGTGACTTTGGGCAAGATGTTTTATCTTTTTTGAGCTTAAATTTCTTATTTGCAAAGCAAATACAAGAATATTCATCTTCTAGATAGTATGTGAGTCTTAGAATCCAAGTAAGATAAAGAACACAAAAGCATTTTGATTATGAGGCATGATGAAAATGGATGAGTAGTATTGTTATACTTTATCTTAAGCTTTGAGCCTATTTATAGTCTTAGGCTGTCCTGCATCCTGAGCCTAACAATTCAAAAAATTTGCTTCTCCTGTGCAAAAGAGTGCCTCCCTTTAGTGATCCTAAAATTCCCCTTCTTAAACTGCAAGCAGTACCGAGGGTTATTAGCTGGACTCTATGATTTTAACCTGCAGGATGGCCCATTTTTCTTGTTAGCACTGGGCTGTGTCTACTCGGGGCACCCTGTTTACACTCACTTACTGACACACCATAGGGAGGCGCCCCTGGCGTTTCTTTGTCTCAGCTCTCTTCCAGACAAAATACTATTCTCCTTTGTCTCAGCCGCCATCTTTTCCTAGCATGTAGGGCCTGAGGGATTTAGTAGATTTATTGGCCACACATTGGTAAAAAAAAAAAAAATCCCCTCCAAGAATGATTATGAATCATATATTTGGATAAAAACATCTTCTCTCATTTTTATAAGGAAACAAAAAACTGGCACAACATTAAAAAAAACAGAAAGAAAGAAAAAACTTAAACCTAGCAAATAATGACTGCAAGCAGACATAAACAGTGATGTGAATTGTAATGTTAGGCATATTTTATTATTCAAATAACTCACTATAAGTGCAGTAAGTGGTTTTATGTCAAGCACTAGAGTAAGTGCTGGAGGTACAGAAATGGATTTGAAATAGAGTTTTTTTTCTCTCAGGGAACTTTCCTTAAAGCCGCTTAAAGGATTATGCTTGACCAGATACAAAAAGACCAAAAAAAAAATAAATCAATAAAAAATAAAAATAAATGTTATAGGTGCTAAGATATTTGTTGGATCGCCCTGCTTCCATGACTTCTTTTCATTTTATTAGGTGACCATCTGTCTTCTTGAACCCCTGCCTCTAGACATGCTTGAGTTCAGATAACCTTAGAAGTACTGACAGAGGCATCAGTAGAGATAGATGAGGGAGCTGAGGTAGGAGGAAGCTCTTAACCATTTGGTGGCTGAAGGGAACATTCTATACCCAAATAACGATTTCACTAGATGATTTCACTAGAAGAACTGGAGGTCTTCATGGAGTCAATGTTTCTAAAATCTGTATGCAAACAATGCAAATATCCATCATTTGCACATAAAAAACTATGCTTAATGAGTTTAATATTTTTGGTCTACAAAAACTTTTAAAAACGTCAGCTCTATTTAAGGAATTTTAATGATAAAAAGAATTCTAGCTGGTTAAAAAGTTAGAAGCCACAGTTTCAAAGCTACAAATAGTGTTAAGGTTTCATGGATGTGTCTGGGAAAATGAAGGACAGAAAACTTTCTGAACCATTCACCAACTCTAATAACAACTTAACGTTACCAAACACCTCCAACACTTTCATGCTTCTGCGCTTTCTGCCTGAAATGGTCTCTCAATCTTACCCAGACTCTTCCTTATTTGTTCCTAGAATTCCAGATCAGATATCACTTTTGCTACAAAGCCTTTTCTGCTCCTCAGGCAAATTAATCATTCTGAATCCTGATGCTTTTATTGATAAGGCTGCTAAGTACAATAGACAATGAATTCCACAGACCAAGATCTCCAACTCCTAGAACAAGGTCTGATGCTCCAAGTGTTTGTTAAATTAAATTGAAATGTCTTGTTGATAATAACCATTCTAACAGGTGTGAGGTGGTATCTCATTGTGGTTTTGATTGTATTTCCCTAACAGCTAGGGAAGTTGAGCATCTTTTCATATGTCTGTTGGCCATTTGTATGTCTTCTTGGGAGAAGTACCTGTTTAGGTAATCTGCTCATTTTTAAATTAGATTGTTTGTATTGTTGTTGTTGAGTTGTGTGAGTTCTTTATGTATTTTGAATACTCGCCCCTTATTGAAGGTATTGTTTGCAAATATCTTCTCCCATTTAGTTGGTTGTCTCTTTTGTTTTGTTGATGGTTTCTTTTGCTCTGCAGAAGCTTTTTAGTTTGACATAGTCCAATTCATTATTTTTTGCTTTTTCTTCCCTTGCCTTTGAGGTTCAACTCATAAAATACCCTCTGAACCCAAGGTCCATAAGTCTAGTACCTATGCTTTGTTCTGTGCAATTTATTGTTTCGGGTTTTATATTAAGGTCTTGATCCATTTTGAGTTAATTTTGGTACATGGTGTCAGAGAGTAGTCTAGTTTCATTTTTTTGCATGTGGCTTTCCAATTTTCCCAGCACCATTTATTGAAGAGGCTTTCTTTTCTCCACTGTATGTTTTTGGCTCCTTTGACAAAAATTGTTTGCCCATATATATGTGGGTTTATTTCTGGGTTCTCAATTCTGTTCCATTGATATGTGTGTCTTTTTTTCTGCAAAGCCCATGCTGTTTTG